AGTCCGTACTCATCGCCCAGGACGCAGCGTCATGGAATCTCCCGCATACCCAGGTCGGCCCCCGGCGCGCTATTGCAGGACTTCTCAGTTTGTCTGTAGACCACCGTCCTAAAGTGCGCAAGAGAGCTCAGGATGCCTTGATCAAGGTGCTTAAGACACCCCCACCCAGCCCTTCTCTCGACCATCCGGCTGCAGATATGTGTGCCGAGACTGCGCTGCGAACCCTCGGCGATAGTATTACCGCTGCATCCAAGCAAAAGCGTGGTCGCAATGACCCTCAGGGCCGGGAGAACAGTGATCCTCTCGTTATTCATTCTTTGCAGTTGGTAAAAACGGTTGCGGTTGCGTCGGGAGGTTGGCCCAGCAAGAAGATTGAGCCTTTGTGTGAACTATTGATGAATGCATCCCGGTCCAGCAACGAATATATTACCATGGGTGCTTTTGAAGTTTTCGAGGTTATCTTCTCCAGCATGGCCAACGAGTTTACTTCGTCCAAGCTTCCACGTCTTCTTGAGGCGATTTCTGAACTGAAGCCCGCGCAAAACGACTCCCAGCTACTGCCGCCTTGGATTGCTGTGCTTTCCCGCGGTTATGATGTATCCGCCCAAATTGTACCTGAAGACACATTTGAGAAACTACCCGACCTGTTCAACATGATCTCCAGCTATCTCGCGTCTCCCTCTAGCAACATTCGAGTGTCCGCATCAGAGTGCCTTGTTTCGTTCGTCGCCAACTGTATTCCGGCCAACGTCATCCTTGAACCATCTGTCTACGACGAGAAGACCTTGGAGAAGCTTGCGAAATCCACAAAGGATCTGCTTTCAGTGAAATACCAAGCCGCGTGGATGGAAGTGTTCAATGTCTGTGCTGCCATGTTTGAGAGTTTCAAGTGGCAATCTAGCCCCTTCCTAGACGACGTCGTCCGGACCGTCGGAGAGCTGCGCAGTAACGAGGCTTTCCAGGGAAAGAAGGAGGCAGATAATGTTCTGGGTGCTGCGGTTGAGGCAATGGGTCCTGAAGCTGTTCTGGAGATCTTACCACTAAATCTAATTGAGCAGAAACCCGGCCAACCGGGTCGTGTCTGGTTCCTCCCAATTCTTCGCGACAGCGTGACCAACACGAATTTGCGCCACTTCCGCTCTGAGTTTGTCCCTCTTAGTGAAACCCTGTACCAGAGGGTTATGGAGTACACATCCGCAGAGAAGTCAGTGGAAGTGAAGATTTTCGAAACCTTAGTCCAGCAAACCTGGGCGATCCTCCCTGGATATTGCGAGCTTCCGCTTGATTTGACTGAATCGTTTGACCAAAGCTTTGCAGAGCTCCTGTCGAACATTTTGTACAAGCAGACTGACTTGCGAGTGGACATTTGCAAGGCACTTCAAAACTTGGTCGAGTCGAATCAGGCTATCTTGTCTATTGAAAGTGAGGAAGATGATTTGATTCTACAACGCAGAATCACCAAGGACGCTGCCATGCAGAACATTGCTCATTTGGCCGACTTTGCCAGCAATCTCCTGGCAGTTCTTTTCAACGTGTACAGCCAAACGTTGCCACATTACAGAGGCTACATTCTTCAGTGCATTAACGCGTATTTGAGCGTTGCACCGGAGAAGGTCAGTATTCAAAGTTTCTTCCATATATTGTTCCCGGACTAACCATGATTTAGGAACTCAATGAGACATTCGAGCGGGTGACTTCCATGCTCGAATCCTCAGTGACATCGGAGCAGGAGGCAGCCAAACAAGGAAACCAGCCTACAAATTCCGGAGACAAGATGCCACCAACCTCGCACACGCTCATCGACCTGGTCATTGCGATGTCAATCTATCTGCCTCGCTCGAGCTTCGCTACCCTCTTTTCTCTTGCCGCTGCGGTCTTGAACGGCGGCACGAGTGATCAGCAGCTGATTAAGAAGGCCTATAAGCTGATTCCTCGCTTAGCCACAACGGAGACAGGAACCGCTGCGCTAAAAGAACGGAACGCAGAGCTCCAGGGCCTCATGCTTGCTACAGCTGATAAGACCCCGGCCTCCGCCCGCAGAGACCGCATGCTCGCTATTCACGAACTTGTCACCCATCTCCCAACTTCCGATCTCCACTTCATCCCTTCAATTCTATCTGAGGTTGTGCTAGGATGCAAAGAGAGCAACGAAAAGGCCCGCACCGCTTCATTCGACATGCTTATCCATCTTGCCAAGAGGACCATCGACTCCGAGCTGAACCCGCCGGGAACCAAGATTCGGAATTCGCTGGTTCCCCATATGCCCGATGATGCTCCTGACGCCCCTGCAACCATTGAGGAATTCTTCACAATGGTCTCTGCAGGACTTGCTGGTAGCTCTCCACACATGGTTGCTGCTTCGGTTACGGCGCTCTCTCGTCTCTTCTTCGACTTCCATAAGGACATCCAACCAGCTATGCGGATTGATCTAGTCCAGACCGTGGAGCTTTTCCTTACCAGTAACAACCGAGAGATCGTGCGATCAGTACTTGGTTTCGTCAAGGTAGCTGTTGTCGTACTTCCGGACGACGCCCTTCGCCCACGTCTGAACAACCTTGTGCCGAACCTGATGGTATGGAGCAAGGAACACAAGGGTCGTCTCAAGAGCAAGGTAAAGGGTATTCTGGACCGACTGATTCGCCGATTCGGAGCTGCTCCGCTTGAAGAACTGGTTGGTGAAGCAGACCGGAAACTAGTAGTCAACATACGTAAGCTCCGTGAGCGACGCAAGAAAAAGAAGAACCAAGAAGGTGCTGAAGATGAGGAAGAGGAAGAGGCCCCTGCAGCGGCTGAGAAGAGTAGCAAATCATTCGGCAACGCGTTCGACAAGGCAGTCTACGACTCTGACTTCTCCGACTCAGACGACGACGCTAGCGAGATCAGCGTTGACGAGGAGGGCGAGACACACGTACAACAAAAGGGCCGGAAGGGCAAGAAGGCGAACAAACAGAGCGAGCAGTATATCCGCGAACTCTCCCCTGAGGGTAACCCTCTGGATCTGCTTGGATCCGACGCCCTCGCCAACATCTCCACCACGAAACCCAGCGTGCGCTTCCTCAACACAGGCCCTGGGTCTCGGCGGAAGCGCTCCGCCAAGGTCGATTCTGACGGCCGTCTTATCCTTGGCGGTGATGAGGCCGACGATATGGATATGTCGGGTGGCCTTGATGGTGATAACGCTGGCGGGAGCGGAATCAACGCTTACGTGGAAGCTGTTAGCGGACCGGACGCCATCCGCCGTGGTCAGCGCGGAAAGATTAAAATGGCTCAGTCCCAGAAGAAGAAGTCTCAGCGCGGCGACGAAATGGACGTTGACGACGACAATAGCAACGCTGGAAACCAACAATCCTCTTCATTCCGAGGACGAGGAGGCGGGAGAGGAGGCGGAAGAGGAGGCGAAAGAGGAGGTTCGGGACATGGCCCTAACCCACCCGGTCGTCGAGGCTTGGGTATGCCGAAAACCCATGGGCCTAGCGGAATTCAGAAACGAAGAAACGTCCGCGGGAAGCCCGGGCAAAGTGGGCGAGGTGGAATCCGTGTTGGACGGCGCAGATAAACCGGTGTCCACACGCTCTCCCTCCCTGTATCATCTCCATCTCGATGAATACAAGAGAAAAGAAATGAAACGACCCCAACAAAAAAGATTCAACGGCTAGAAAATTCATGAACTTGCACTTATTCATTCCCATTTATGCTTCGATTCTTTATCTATTCTCATTATTGTTGATTACGAATCCTTCCGTGTGCTTAGGTTAGATCCTTTTTCGTCCTGGGTTGGTATCTATATACCCTCTGTTCCAAGGTTTTCATCAATCATTATTATATTCAAGTCGTCGGCGTAGTTGTTACTGAGTTACTAGTATCTATAAGTGCCATTGAGATCACCCAATCGATTTAAATCATCACACGGACATAGTCTCTCTAGTTAATTACCAAGAGAACGGAAATAACCAATACGTTATGTTATCCCATATTCCCAACCCATGTCTGAGCGCCACGCAACAACCCCATCTACCATTTAAGACAACCTAATGACATTTACCACTCGGCGCCCCATTAAAAGGCAAAAAAAAGGGGGAGAGGCTGGTGGGGGAAGAAAAAAAAAGAAAAAAGTTCCAGGTTCCCACATGATCACCATACTAACAGATCCATCGTTATAGTTGCAGCCTGGATCGATATACTTTTGCACTGCATCTTTCTCTTACACAACAGGAACGATAGGTCAAAGACACTACTGTGTTTGAGTTCTGCAGGAGACAGGGCTCATCCATGATCTTCGTATAGCTTATCTCCTGGCTTTATTGCGTTGGCGTTGTTGACGCTTTGCAGGACAGGCGGTATTAGGTTTGGGGGGTTGTGATTAGGGTTTGGTTCTCAATAATAGCCGGGGCCCGAACCAAAGTACATCGCGAACATCAGTGAGTAGTTTGCTAATTCGGGTTCGTCATAGTGATTACTGATACTGAAAAGGAACTGAGTAGATAAAAGAAAATATGGCGAAGCACAAATCCAGCCCGGGTATCAATTCTTCAGAGGTGTAGACTGTTAGAGTACAAAGCTAAAAACCAAAAGCCCTTCTAATCAAGGTTCCCAGTGCCTATTCCAAGCACGATAATAATAACGAGAATATTGATGGCGTGCTTCCATATTCCGATTCGAGCAAAAAGAAAAAAAAAAAGAGAAAACCTGCGCGCCGTCGCAACCGAAACACCAACTCCGAGTCACATGTGCTAATGGAAATGGAAAGTATTGTCGCTGTTCAGGTATTGCGTGCAAAAAAANAAAAAAAAAAAAAAAAAAAAATAAAAAATTGAGGGGGCGAAGATGAAATAAAAAGCAAAATAGAAAAAAAAAATAAGTAAAAATAAAAAGTCAAGCGCGCAGTAATCGTTCCACGTATCCCAAACATTGGTATCATGCTAGCATTAAACGGTTTAAAATCGGAAAGAAGAGTCAGGCCGGAAGAGTGGAGGACAAAAAAAGAGCCGGTGGGTGAGACGTTACCGGCGCGGCGAACGAGCTTTCCCTAGCCATATCTGCCACCACTTGGTCACACCCAAGACGGCAGCCCGGCCGTCATCTTTTCGTTCTGTTCCATCGGGATTGCCAAGCATCATGGCGAAGACCCAGAAGAATGCTGCGGTCCATGCGAGAAGGAGCAGGCCGAACGACAAAAGTGATGATAGGAGAAGGACCATAATCAGACCACCGACTGAGTAGCCTTCACCGTAATCTGTGATAGATGATTCATCGCCGTCATTATATGCCGACTGCGACGGTGACGGGCGAAGTCCAATTAACCGCTCGTGGATATGCAATTGTGGTACCAATAAATCGCATAATTGCGTGCGGAACGATGTTTTCCTGAGATATGGGATGCAGGAACAAATGCGAAGAGGAGATGTGAAAAGCGTAAAGAGCAACCCAAAAATTGTATAGATGGAGGCTATAAGAGAGAAGATGGGGATGGGGAGTGACATCCGGAACTGCGGTTCGGGGATTAGTTCCGTACCCTAAATATCGATTGATAATGGACTCCAACGATTCAACTTACCAGCATCAAAACAGCATCGTGGCCGTCATTTGATATGAATTCGCCATCTTGGATCGCCCGTTTTTGAGCGCGAGCGGCACCAGGATTACGATTATCCCCCGACATATATGACGAATGATCAGTCCAACTCCTTCGGGTGTGGTCTTCCTTGCGCGCGGCTCCGTTGTTGGGGGGAGATAATATATGATTCTCCTCGAGGTATGGCTGGGACACAAGCGTCACTGGAGCCGCGGTGGGAGAGACAGGTTTCACAGACTGCTGGCGGGAATGGCGACTGGACTGAGGGTAAGAGGGATCCCATGAATCGGTGGGATATTGTCTAGAGGTAGAGGTGTGAACGGAGGCCCGTTCCGACGAGAAAATATCAACGGGCCCGTCCTGGATTGCGGCGCTATGTCGCGGCGACGCTAGCTGCGTCTCCGCAGGTATGTGAGACGTTGGAGGGGCGACAGGGTGGTTTTCACCATCGGAAAGATATGCGGTCACAATCTGGGGTTGGTCGTGATAGTAGGCGGGCGAATGAGACATATCAGGTTGCCTCATTGCGGGCAGTCGAAGTCAAGGGAGAAAGGGAGAGGGACAGTCAAGAGTTGGTGGAGCAAACAAGGGCGCAACGGAGATCTGCCCCCTCAAAAATGCGACGGAAGGGCCACGCCAGGTAGTACAAGCAGTGCACAGAGAGAGCACCCGGAAGCAGCTCACAGCATGGCTTTCAGCGTAAGGGAGAATAGTTTTCCTTTGACGATATATTCGATGACGGAGCTCCAGGCACGGCGAGCGGGCGGCGAATGAGGGGGTAAGCAAAAGCGACGACTCAGGGAGGGGGGTGGAGGAACGGAGACGGATAGGGGAGCGGGAAGGAAGAGAGGAGGGAAGGAAAAGGAGGAGACTTATAAGGCCATGAATGTCAGCCAGGAAGGTTACAGAAACCCAAGAAAAGGACGAGAAGACCAAGAGAAGAACCAAGAGGAAAAGACTGCGTCGAGGGCAACTTGCAGACCACCAAGCCGCCAAGCTCTTGGCACTTGTTTGAATGGGATCATTGACGATCTTCGCGGTCGGAGGAGGCAGGAGACAGGGAGCAGGGGCGTCAAGACGGAGCGAGATCGCAGGACGCAGGAGGGCAAGATGGAGGGTCCGCCGGCATTGTCAGAAGAATGCTGCCCGCGTCGTTGCAGCGCAGAGCGAGCCAGTTGAAGCTGCGATGGTGTCCCGTCCATGGCCTTGCCAAGAGCCTGGATCGCTCGCCATTGTGGGCAGCGTATCCCCACTGGTGTGGACTGCGTCTTGGCAATACCAGTTATTTCCGAGCTGGAACACCCAAGCACATATTATGACTAACGTATTGTCGCATGGTTTCGCACGGGACTGCATCAAGAATTCGGGAATGTATAGTCGATAGCTGCTGCTGCAATTATTCCAAGCTCGCGATTGAATGTCGGACAGAGCTCTTGCCACGTTGAGGGCCTCGGAGGGCGAGGTTCGCTCCTTCCGCAATCAGGCGAATCATGTGACGAGCGGACTCTGGAAGTCCCCGGTCGTGTCCAACCTCGTTGCTTCACCACCTGTTGGATGCTGGCGTGGATCGAGCTATCGACAGCTGTTTTTTGATCATATCTCTCCGTGTTCCATAATGTCATCAAATACCAGCATATCGATGAACTCTATCCAGAAGGAAGTCCACGATTGAGTGACTATGCCTCAGCTTTGATTGGCTCGTAGTTCCGTTGTAACTTTCCTCGATTTTCACGGCCAATACGCCTTCGTTTTCCATCAACGCCCCTACCTGTCTCTCCGCAGGGTTCAGTGTCTCGATTTCTCAGGCCTTGGGCTTCGGACCTCAGGACGAAACTTCTCTCCTCACATCCGGCCCGCCGAAGACTCTCGCAAATCTGCGCCGAGCCACCTCGCCGAGCCCGCCGAGCAATCGATGGCTCATTACGTTTCTGACAGACGCGGTCGAAAATGAGCATCCCCTTTGTCGTGAAGGAGGACGCAGTTATTCGATATGTAGCAACTTGGCGCCAACCCTGCCTGATACTGCCTACTGTGAACCTGAGCGAGTGAAGGCGACTCCCGCCAAGATTCCACTGCCCTCGTCCAAGAACTTGGCTGTCTCAAATTCGTGGAGGTGCCCAGATTCGCCATGCGAAACTGTGGTGGATATACGGTTTTGCGTGGCGTCGTGATTTTACCAGCATTTTCACTACTCTCCCCTCGCGAGCCGATCTCATCCTTGGATCCTCCTTGTCTTGTGCATTCACCTCCTCTCAATTTCGCTTGGCTGTCTCGTCGAAACGTGAGGTAAGAATCCTGTGTAATCTTGGCTGTGCTCCTCGCTTCGTAGTCGTATTGACTACCCCTCGGCATCGTCTCCTAATTCCGTGCTTCGGTTGCCTGTGCATGATCTTCATTTCCCCGGGGTGAAAGTGGTTGAACTGTGAGCGGTCCTCTCGATGGAAGACTTGAAGGGTATTGATATGAGGGATAAGCCCGACCAATAATGAACTGCACTTCGATTTTCCAAGCGGCTCCTCTGTATCTAGGAAGTGCTGGCTCCAAATCCTCTGGAAGACAGTTCACAAATTCACATCATGCATGAGACCCTTGACATTCCCAAGGCATCTATCGCAATGGCATGGTACTATACAATGAGGGCCGGCCTCCAAGATAGACGTGAATGACTCTCCTGTCTCCTCCGTAATTTGGGGATCAGGGCTTTTGCTCTAACCTGATCCATGATCCTTCTCGAAGCGTCTTGCGCGTGGTCAGCCGTCTTGTGCCACGTCTTCTCCAGGCTGTTCATACGGATAATCGCCGTAAACTCAAACCAATGTGACAAATGTGGATTGACAAGTTACAACAGACCGCCCTTGTGATGTGCCGGCGTTCCGAGTAGTTTATCTTGGCTTGATGATCATCACTGATGATCGCAAGATGTCTATTCGTAGTTGGGGTATGGAGGCCTGTTGTTTACTATTACTTGTGAGACTCGACCACGCCACAAATTCCACAAACTCTCTATGCATAACCAAGTGGCCTCGCTATCATTCAATCAAATCCACCCCCTCTGTGACCCAGATGATGGTTTTTCCAATGAATCGGGGTTGGCGGCACAAACGGGCCGTTGTCCTATTGCGGTTCAGCTCCTGAAACCAAATTTAGTTTCGATATAAGGTCCCCAAACATGTTCGCCCCTTTCAGGTAATCCTGTTCTGGGGATGTGAATATTGGGTGTAGTAAAATATTCCACCTGCCTCGCTACATTGAACTGCCTAGTCGCAACAATTTTTACGTTCAGGTATAAATATACTACGCCTATCAAGGCGGAATGCCTCAAAGTGGGCTTAGAACATACTGTCAGGAAGGAGCGATAGGGCTTGCTATTGTTTTATTTTAGTATTAGACCTATAATCTTTTTGCGCTACAAGAGCCATCGATCTCGAGTCAGACAATTAATCTACTTGTCTCCGGCATATCGAGCAGTTCTTATTGCTACCGTACTTCCAGCATTAAAGACATGTAGCCAAACCACATGGGTTCTCTCGGTGCTATTCACACTCTAGGCTGCAACTCTTAGACAATTGATCCCATGACAGGTTTCGTCTTTCTATCAGTATTTAATAATTGGCAACATAGATATCCAGGCAGGTCCCATGACCCAGGAGTCTTCCCTTTGATCATATCCATATTCCAACGTTAAGAAACAAAGGCATTTAAAGATTCTGATAGAATTGCATTCCTATCTTCCATCTGGTGCCGAACATCACACACACACACACACACACGACACAGCACTCATTATTGGACAACTCGGATTGAAACAATCAGGGGATATAACAACCCGGCCGCCTATCGCGCCTTCCCTTTCAATTGGAATATAAATCGCAATATCAGGAAGGTGCACCCACTAGAACCGGAAGGAACCACTGACCCCCGTCCAGTCGTGCCTGCCTTAGCTGAGGTTGACACTAACCAATAGGTCCATGGATTGGAAGCCATAATAAACTATTCCACAAAGTATCTTCCTAGTAAAACTTTGTTGTTTTATCTTGGATATGCCAAGTATCAAAATTCCTAAGCTCAAAGGGAACCTGGCACCTACCGTAAGATTTCAAACTGAACCTTTACCCACTACGTTACGGTGTTGTCGACGAGATTGGAATAGATCCTGTTGGATTTTGTATACTGTGGGAAAGTATAGCCTCTACAAACTTCCTGCTATGACTCTAGGAAACCTGCTAGCTCTTTTGACAAAAGCCGAGTAGAAGGCGTAGGAGAGGTGAAGACATACTAGACTTTGTGATAACAAACTACTGATACTGCAGAGTAGACAATAATCTACCATCATACGTACTAGGCTAATGTATTTAGGTAGAAAACAAACGGATAGTCTTTATTTAACGAATAATCAGGCACCTATCCCTACTAATACCTACCGGGCTATACCCACAAACCCCAAAAATATTTCGCATGGATGCCTGGAATAATCGCCCTACCCACGGGCACTGAAACACTAAAAGATAGTATGAGTGTTACAATATTCGAGTTCTAGAACTTGAGAGAAGCATATCAGGGAGCAGAAAAACAATCCCCCGCCTGCAAGAAAGTTAATGCCTATTATTAGGCATCCGTATACTGGAAGCAAATTGTACACAGTAAGCACGTATATTCCCACTCGGCCCTTCGTACTGAAAAACCATTGAGTACTACTTCATTTTCAGTTCCTGAGCGGTGCAGAATAGAGAGGTTGAAAAGAAAAAAGAAAGAAAGGAAGAAAGAAGAAAAATGAAGATGGCGATCAACATCTACACTGTGTAAGCAATGCAGGAGGATTCCAGTAACACAATACGACACCGCGCACCTTTTTGTATGCTGTGCAACTGACTAATTTTCGAGTATAGAGGGCATCAGGCATCATTTTCAGCATGTCCCCACCTGTATCCCCCGCGTTGTCGATGCAGACATCGCAGCAGCAGGCAGGGAACTCGAATAAAGTGAAACAAAATGCTCAGTACTGGAGGCAACAAAGCTGCATGACGTTGTACGACGCTAAGAAATCTGAGTGAAGTACAGGCAGTGCTTACTAGGGTGGGACTGGGGGCAGTGGCACAGATCGGTCGGTATCTGTAAGGTGTATGTAGCCCAGGGTGTGGTGGCATCTGTTTGTTTGCTTCTTATGATGCGCTCTGTTCTTTTTCTTCTTTTCCGTCTCTCTTTTTTGAGTACTGTGGGCACGTGTCGTTGTCTTGGGTGTATATTGTAATACTAAAATCCGGCTGGATATCTATTCCCGTATAAACTCCTAGAGTGTATAATCATGTCCCATATTCCCTAGAGAACAAAACTTATATTGGGACAAGTACCAATCCAGACGCTCAATCTACGGGAGCCTGTAACTCAGACACAGTTAGCCTCAAATCTAGGAATTCCACCCAGCCACCACTAGCAGTCCAGCACAGATTCTGCATACGGGTTCTAGCAGCAGCAGCAGCAGCAGAACTGGACCCCGGCTACACGGCCACGAC